TGATACTCCATTAGGAGTGTTCCCAACTTTAATGTCATTAATGGTCATAATAACATATATATGTGTCATGGTCATATATTGGTTTGTAGTTTAATGTCATTTAGTTAGGGTTAGGGTTAGGATTATCATCATTAATCATTAATCATTAATGATATCAAAGTTGGAACACTCCTAATGGAGCGTTAGCCGAAATGTTAGCTACTGTGGCGTGATGATCCCACGTGCAGAAAAAGCATGACTGCATGATATATACCTAGACCTTGCTCGTGCGTAAATCTACATATCAGTATTTATCTTAGATTTATCTTAGATCAGATAGCTACTAGAACATGACATACATGTATGAGTCAAAACCCGAAACGATGTCAAAGTTCATTTGCCTTGAAGATAATGTGTTTAAATCACGGTGCCCCATGGTTGCACAACTTCAACTGTGGACTGTGCTCATGTGTCACAAGGCCAAGGGAATAGGATCTACAGAGAGCATCTATATATAAAGTTGTTCAGCCGAATTAGTCTGTACTCGCATAACTAGAAAACTCCGCAGCCTAGAGGAAAACTAAAGATATTTTCAGAGTCAGTACGTCTGGGAGGTGGTTCTGGCTGAAACAAAAAATTTGAAAAAGTTAAAAAGTTAAAAATTGATAAAAATTCTAGATAAAAACGTCACGTACGTGTGAATCCATGGTGTATACCCTTAACGGCGCAGTGGCATAATCGCTAGAACATCCGTCTCCTATACCGGGATTCCGGGTTCGAGTCCCAACTGGAGAACTTAATTTCCCCTTTTTCCATTTTTTTCCCTTTACCTACCTCTTTAGTATGTATTATTTGTAATTTCTTACTTTTTAATTTTTAATGTCTTTTACCTTTTGATTTCTTATTGTTTTTTACTGTTTGGGATGGGATGGGATGGGATGGGATGGGATGGCATGCGATGGGATGGGATGGGATGGGATGCGGTGTGATGGGATGGGATGGGATGAGATGGCATGGGATGGCATGGCATGGGATGGCATGGCATGGGATGTCATGGGATGGCATGAGATGGGATGGCATGGGATGGGATGGGATATGGGATGGGATGGGATGCAGTGGGATGGGATGGGATGGCATGGGATGGATGGATGGATGCATGGATGGATGTATGAATAGATAGAACTGATAGATAGTGAGATTTTTTTGGGTATTTCCCTTTCAACCAAGCAGTCACCAACTGAGAAACGCCACTGATTTCCCCGGGCAACGCCGGGTATCCCGCTAGTACCTGCATAAAAAAACACAACTGAGCTATACTAAACATGTGATCAGTACTGTACAGTGGATGGTTATGAATAAAGGATGCAGGCGTGCGAATCGGAAACTGTAAAAATTCCTGAATTCCCCCTTCAATCACTGTGGCCCCTTGTTGGCCCAATCCAAAGTCCTAGACTGGGAAAAAGGGAGATGCATGCTCATGCACACACTTGCATGTGTAAGCATGCAGGCACGCATGCAAGCAGACTCACTCGCGGGAACACACGCACACATACACGGACACGCAATCACACACACATAGTCACATACACAGACAGGGTTCTCCAAGCTTTTTCATTATAGCAGGGCGGGTGCTGCCTTTAAGGTCCTAGTTGCAAATCGCCGAAGGCCGGTTTGCGTGCCTAGGGGGTCCCCGGGGCTATGATATTTAGCATGGCGGCTATGATATGTCTAGAGTGGCGGGGTGCATTTAGCCGATTGCGCGTGCTCCGACGATAGCCTCGCCGCTCAGGCTATAACGGAGAAGCGGCCAACCCTGACAGATACACGTAATCAAGAGTACACAATAGAGAATCCTATTATGTACTCTTGACGTAATCGCACATACACCGACAAGCATAATCACACGCGCACATACTCAGACACAATCACACATGCACGCACAAGCACACACTCATGCACACACAATCACACACACATACACAGACACGTACAATCACACACACACACACACACACACACACCCACACCCACACACACCCCACACGCACCCACACGCACGCACGCACAGACACAGACGCACGCACGCACGCACGCACGCACGCACGCACGACGCACGCACGCACACAACAACACACACACAGACACATTCCACGCATGCATGCACACAATCACACACACACACATACAGACCTAGACAGAGGCATTCACGGGAGGGTGATACATCCGCCAGCGGACGATACGCCATAACGCCATCACGACTGAAGAACACACGAATAACCCACGCATATACGCCAAAGTACATGTATGCTCGCTCGGCCGCTCAGCTCAGACAGCAGCCGGCCCTGTGGCTGGCCTCGCCTCGCTGACTCGCTATATATCGACTTCCGCGCGAACACACACACCAAACACACGACGCCGCAGACCCGAAGGACATACCTGCCTGCCAACCTTTTTGGCGGAGGGGTAACACGCACTTCATCGCACACACAATCCACGCAACAAATCACCACACACATACACAGACATGCCCACAATCAACACATTATACACTACACAGACACATCCATGCCATGCACGCCACACAATCACGATGCACGCTACGAACACGTACTCATGCACACACACACACCAAACGCACGCACGCACGCACGCACGCACGCACACATGCAGGCAACCACGATCGGCAACTCACGCCATTTTCAAGTTGTTCAGGCTACTGATCTCCTTCACGTGCGCTGCATCTCGGCTCCTCTTGACAACAAACCAGTAGAAGAGCAGCGCTGCTATCACCGCGAGGATGACGAGATCCAGCGTGCCCAGTATGGGCTCCACCTCCGCCGCGACCTCCTCCGCGACCTTCTCCATGACCTCTGGCGCAACCTCGTCCGCGCGTGCAAACATGCCGGCGATCGTCTGGAGAAACAGCGTGTAAAATTACGAGGACACTATCGTGGCTCAATAATTCTACTTTTGCACCGATGCATACATGGTGGGGGTTAGGGTTACGGTTAATGTTAGACGCAGGGGTTCTTAACCTGTGGTACATGGACCCCCTTTGGGGTCCATGGATGGGCTTCAGGGGATCCGTATGCAAAATTTGTCCGTAGCTTTCACCAGATTCTCAAAGAGGTCCATGACTCAAAAAAGGTTTTAAGAACCACTGGGTTAGAGGGTAGAGATTATGGTGATGATATGTGATGACCATGATATATATATATATGGGGGGGTCCTAACATAGCATTGAGACCATTCAGGGATGTTCCCATGCCAAGTGGCGCCGGGCGGTGCCGCCCGTTACTTTTGATTTCCAACCGGCACTCAAAAAAAATTGCCGTTTTCCGCCCGGAACAAAATGACATCAAATAGGACATAATCATTTACGAATGGTCCATTGAGTGAATTATTGTAGAAATCATTCAACAACAAAGTGCTTAATTGCTGTTTGAGCATTTTGTTGTAATTTAAATGTACTAACTTATGTCACATGCCGCAATTATTAGCGATCATTCATAAAGCCTAGGACACACTGCGCGATTTTCTACGCTCGCCGCTTGCGATCGATATTGTTACTGTACATGCTAACATCGCAGTGTGTGTCCAGCTGTGTGCGCAACTCTTACGGCGTTCTAAAATCGTCTTTTTTAATCATTTGGGGGGGGGGATTCGATGTCTGATTACCGCGCACTCAACATTTTCTGGGAACATCCCTGCCATTCATATATATATCCTCTGCTGAAAGCTCTACCCCAACTCTTCCTGACTGCCACCATGGCCTCGCAATTAATCTCGAAAGCATGTCCCGGCACTCGCCTAAAGAAATGAGAGAGTACTGGTTATAACACACCACCACTGTGACCTCGGGTCATTTAAAGGGCATTTTGACCCAAGACACAGGTTGAATTATTACCAGCTCTCTTGAATGTAAGTGTACTGTCACTATTACTACTGTAAGTACTACAAGTGTACTGTAGTAATATCCACTAACACAGCTTTTAAAGGGCATGTAGACTGGTACCTACTTATTTTAAACAAACAAACAACTATTACTATCAGCAATAACCAGTTTAAAATCGAAAAATTATACTAAAATTGACTAAAATCTTAAATTGACTGATTTGGATTTCATTTCAAGATAAGGCAAACACTACACATCATTGTCACATGCACGTCGCACCACCATGTACTTGCGTTTCAGTTTTAACCATTTAACTTACAAGTTAAATGGTTAAAACTAAACTGAACACAAGTGTTGTTTCGTGTTTTTCACATTCTGAAGGAATAGCAGCTGCAATTTGGTTGTTTATATTGTTCACCTCACAATTTACATTGCCATGGCAGTGAATACCTCGTAACCTCGTACTCGTAGCAAGCAGCAGTGACAGTGACAGTGTATAAACGAACTAACACGTACTAACATTTTTTTAATAAGAAAGCTGGAAATTTATATACAGTCCGACCTCCTTTATCCGGCCACGTCGAGACCGGCACCTATCCGGATATGGGATATGGCCGGATATGAGAGTTATGCTCAAACACAGCATTTCTATGCAGTTCAGTAGGGTTTATGCATGTGATAATGTATTTACTCGTTAACTGTCGTGTTTTATGGTTTATATGAAATGGAAATAAAATAAAATAAAACAGAAATTTGACCGGAGGCATAGCGGACACGAGCGGACAACACACGCGCGCGCGCAAACACACGTACGGTTGGTACATCGTGTGAGTTTTGAGCGAGATTTTTAGGTGGA